ACATGAAAGTGGCCCATCTGCGCTGCCCAAAGCAATGCTGCTTCACCACTGCTTTTGTAGACGCTGTAGGCCGATACCGGAAGCAAGTCATGGACTACATGCCAGTGACCCTTCTGAGCTGCCAAATCCAAAGAAGTTTCACCTGCTCTTGTTCTTGCGTACTGGTCAGCACCTTCCCGGAGTAGCTTTTTGACCACATCTTGGTGGCCTTTCAAAGCTGCCAAATGCAAAGCTGTTTCACCAAATTCTGTTTTTGCACTCTTGTCAGCACCTCCCTCAATTAGCTTCTGGACTACATCCCAGTGGCCCTCCAAAGCAGCCAAGTGCATTGCTGTTTCACCTACTGCCGTCGTTGCGTCCTTGTCAGCATTGGCCTTCAGAAGACACCACACCACATGCCAGTGGCCCTTCCGAGCTGCCAGGTGCAAAGCTGTTTCACCTGCCGCAGTCCTTGCATTCTTTTCGGCTGACTGGAGCAGGCAGTCCGCCACATCCCAGTGGCCCTCCTGAACTGCTAGGTGCAGCGCTGTGTCACCGGCTGCTGTCTTTGCCTCGGTATCAGCATCTGCTTCAAGCAGCTGCATCACTACCTTCCGGTAGCCCGTCTGAGCTGCCAAATGCAGAGCGGTTTCACCTGCTCCTGTTTTTGCATGCAGGTCAGCGCCTTCCTGCACTAGTTTTTGGACCACATCCTGCTGACCTTTCACTGCAACCAAATGCAACGCTGTTTCACCAGCCGGTGTTGTTGCATCCTTATCTGCACCTGCCTCCACCAATTGCTTGACCACATGCCATTGGTCATTCTGAGTTGCCAAGTGCAAAGCTGTTTCACCAGCAGCTGTTGTTGCATCCTTATCTGCGCCTGCCTCGAGCAACTGCTTGACCACATGAAAGTGGTCATTCCGAGTTGCCAAGTGCAACGCTGTGTTGCCGGCCGCTGTGGTTGCGTCCTTGTCGGCACCTGCCCATAGCAGTTCTTGGACAACAGACCGGCAGTCATTCTGAGCTGCCAAATGCATGGCAGTCTCACCGGCTACAGTCCTTGCATTCTTCTCGGCGCCTGCCTGGAGCAGCATACGTACCAGAAGCAAAAGACCTCTGCGAGCTGCCATGTGTAATTCGGTTTCACCTGTTGTCGCATCCTTGTGAGCTAGTGCCTGTTGCAGGTTCTCGTCATCAGCGTGACCTACCACAAAAATAGGTCTAGTAGACTTTGCCACATGTGATGATGATGATGCGGCTTCACCAATGCTTCGCATGTCTTCTGATGGATCCAAAAACGCAGCCTCAGCAATGAAACCCCTTTGGTCCATGCGCCTGAGTAGGTCCAATGCTTGCTCATCAGGAATCCCTTCTTATCTCTGTGGTCTCAAGGTTGGCAATTGCAGCTGAAGTGAGACCTCCTTGCATCTGTCTACTATCTGCCAGCGAAACCAGCGTATGTGCGGAGTGTCTCCGACTCAAATGGCGGCGCTCGATGTGGCGAGCTTGTTGCCGGATGTCTCGGAGCAGCTCTGTCTGCCTCCCATTCAATGAGGCCATGGCTCTCCTCAAATTGCCAAAAGCATCCTGTGGAGTGACCTCACTGGCTTCAGCATCTGCCTCACTGGCACCCTCTTCGGCACCTGCAGCTCTCCAAGGCTCCTTGAGAAGGAGGGGGTTAACCCAGAGCAAAACATTCCGAGCAAAGGCTTCTTGCTCCGAAACGATCCAGGTCAATCTGTCTTCCAACGTTAAATTATCCTGCTCATCCTCCAGCTCTGGGTGATCACTGAACAAAAATGCCTTTTGGTCCACATAATGCTTCATATTTCGCACCTGCTCTCTCCACCAGCGCGCTTCAACGCGGTCTTTGGCATCTCGGCTGACCACTCGCAGTGGTGAGAGACATCGCAGGTCCGTCGGCACAAAAGCAATCACCCGTCGCAGCACCTCGACCAAGAAGCTCTCCGAGCTCATGGGGTCAATCGGAAGGAATTGCATTGAAAGCGATAAGAAAAGGCGGAACATGTTTGCTTACATGATTCCTTGATATCCTGGTGTATCCTTGGAATATAAGAGTGAATTCATGGCCATGGTATCCGTGGAACTTGAGTGTGATGCATGATTACTTAATGATCTTTCCTCCAATGCCTCAAAGGGATACATCAGTGGTGGTGTCGTGTATATTCCTGTGTCATATTGTTCACTTCCGCTGTAGCAAGATGATGCAACATGTATAATCAAGTAAAGAATGGACACTTTGGAACTCTTTCCTAGCTTTGTGCCAGTTGAGCCAGATCACTTCCGCCACGATTCCTTGAACATGAACACATCCAAAGTGATACATGTTTCGTCATGGATTTCTGGATCTTCATGTCAGGCTCTGCTCCCTTTCCAACGAAAAACGCATGGCACGACCTTCACCAACTGCTTGACGTTTTGTGCCACCAGATCTGAGACCTGAGGTGGGAATGTGTCGACTATAGGGGGTGATTGCACTGATGGGTTCCACTTTAGGTAGACAACTCAAGACTTATAACAGGCCAACAACTCAAGACTTTACTTATGACTACATCAAAACAAACCTTCAGGTTGTGAATACTTGGAGCATGGTCCAGCCACAAAGAAACATACAATACTGCGTCCCACAAAAAAATAAAGTAACATCGAGGAACCTGCAATCCTTCAACACCAAGTTGCATAGACATTGGGCATATCATATCACACTCCTAATTCCGTTACCCCATATGTCTTCTCCTTGCAAGGTGACATGCCATGTGTCGTCAAGCGACCCTCCGCTGATGGAGGCGCAGCAAGCCATCACGCGGCGCAGGAGCTCCATCGAGCTCTCAGGGTCTTGATCTCGGCCACTCAACGTGGGTGCCCTTGATCTGTGTCAAGGAACCTGACAACGACACACTTTTGCGCTGTGTCAAGGAACCAAACAAAATATGATTGAACATCTAGGACATATCATGAATCTGATGCCAGCGAAAATCAAAACCAATAACTTGTTTTGGCGGCGCTTGGATGTCTCTTTCTGAAGGGAAAACTCTGTGAGAACTGCAATGTTGGAGCTTAGAAAGCTTCCTGAACTAATAAATCGTGTCATTCAGAAACTACACCCAACTTACAACCAACTATAACCAACTACAATGTCACCAACACCTACGAGTGCATGCAAACAATTACATTCACCAACAATGCATATTCCATATGTTTTGAATCAGACTGACTGGATCAAAGTAGAGCATCGAGGCTCAGAGCCAAAAGGCAACTATGCAGTGAGTGTCCATCAAACGCTGCTCTCTGTTCACTACATGCTCCACGTGGCAAAAGATGCGAGCAACACTTCAAACAAGCAGGAGCAGCACATGACAACCCCAACATGCACCAAAATCAATCATCCTAAAGGTGAACAAAAGTCACCCCAAGCTTTGATCAGCTCAATCTTGCAAAAACTCAATGAATCTCAGACTCACATAGTCAAAGACATAAATCATACACCTGATACCTCATCGTTCACCATCAATGGCTGTCGATTATTCCACCTGTCAGATACTCCATCCACTGGCACGCACTGCTCTGCCTCCTTTTCTCCATCATTTCTCAGAGGCCGTTCTCGCCTGGCGAGTCGGTGCCGGAATGCCATAGGGATCCATCCCAGTGACCAGGGACCTCTCTGATTGGGGGCTTGACTCATCTTTGGAAGCACAGGTTCCCTATGAAACGGGTATATCAAGATAAGATCCAGTGGATTCTTCTTGTATGTGGTGCATGATACTTGGCTTCCGATATTGGAGTCCTGCAAGTATGAATGCAGCCGGATATTGTTTTTTTGTGATCAATAGATTCAATAGATGATGTCCAGTTGTCCGAAGCAAAAGCAAACTATCCAACTAGCTTACGGGACATATGAGACATCACCACGCACCCAGATTCTTAAGAAGGTTCGCCAAACTCCTTGTCTCTGCGTCGCCAAAGCTTTCTCGTAGGCGTCAACGCACACGGGAAGCATGCTGTAAACTACCCCGCTGGGTCTACATGGGTGGACCATGTTTGTATGTCCCTGCAGCGTGACAAGTGCATGGTAAAAGATCAACTGAATGATCAAAGAACATATAAGTAAAGAAATTATTTGAGTACTAAGCAGGGTGTTGTATAAGAAAGTCGTATACCATATAGAAGTGGACGCTGCAAGTAACAATAAAGTTGGGTCCAAAACCCGACAAAACTCATGGCTCATGACCCACTTGCACCTAGTAAGGGTCACCTCGGCCAAGAGCATCCAACACCACTTCGCTACCACCGCAACACCCCACCTCCGCAGCCGCCTGTGCAGAAGCAACAGCGCTGCTGGCTGCATCCTGGAGAGAAGCTTGTGGGAAAGCGGATCACAAACAATCACTGGATACCACTGTATATCTTGACCAAACAAAACTCACTCAAAATACCTTCTGACGAGTTCCTCACTAATTACGCCATTACTACCCTCCATCATTCATCAACCCACCGTTAAATGCTAACGTATCATCCAACTTCAGCTCTTTCCCCCCACTCGGCCTTTTCCGGCTCCAGCCGTGCGGGGAAAATCTCTACGGGTCCAGTCGCTGCCGGCCGTTGGTTGCGACCCAGGCAGCGGTCGAAGCAGGGGGAGTCCAATGGACGGACGAGCGGGGGGAGTCCGATGGGAAGAGTATGGATGAGCAGTACTGATTTGTTGGAAGTACGTTCCAAATCACACCATGAAATATCATCATCCCTGTCTTTGATCTTGTGTAATCCACATGTCCCAACTCGCTCGGGCGCCCCAGAACCAGTCCTATTAAGCGCTGAATCCAGAGACACCGGCTTCAAGAAGTGCCGATTCTCCAGCTGAGTATGCCTCCCTCTGAGCTATGCTCTTAGCTTCAAAGCTCGAGCTGGATGTGTTTGACGCATGTTTGGTCGGAACTCTTCCATGCCAAACAAGACCACTCAAGACCTTGATGGTCTTCAAGAGAAGGTTTGAAGAGTTTTAGGAAACCAACCAAGGTTCCTGATATAGAGGAAACTTATTGTTGGACATCTTGTCTGTGCAGTCCACCTTGCTCAAGGAGCAGATCCCCAGGATGTGGAGATGGTCGCTGTCCAACGTTCCACAGCTCTCCCCCCTTTTGCAACGAGGAGACATCTCCGATCCAATGGACGCAGCCAGCTACTGCCATCACTGCTTGGAGTCGAGGAAGACCTGGCCAAAACCATGGCAAAGTCACACACAACTTCACACCACCCTCGCGCTGTTGGATGCTTACCATGCCTCAAAAATCCAAAGAACTATGGTTGCATATTGTGGTTGAGACATGCAAAGGCTGTGACTTTGCTGCCTCTAGTGGACAATGTTCTCTGGAATTTCTCCGCCTGTCCCACCAGCGCAACATGTTCTTCATCGCAAATAGTTTGGTGGTTGAGGTACATGTCCCACCCAGAATTCGACACAAACAGAATGGTGACAGTATCTTAAAGGCTTTTGAAGCTCTCTAATCCAAACATACAAATACTCCCCTGCAGTGTGCAGATTAACATGGAAGCCCAAAACCACTGGGTTGTAGAGGAAAATGGTCTTCCACAGGTCAATTCTCAGGTTCTATGTTATAGTTTGCGGGGGAGTATACTTCCACACCGGCTGGTCCACTCTGGCGAAACGCATCCCACCGACCTGGATGGCCTTGGCGGTCTCCGCCGGCTTCCTCGGACGGATCGGAGGGATCGGACAAGGATCGGACTTTCGGCATGATCGATACAAAGAGGATCTGCTGGTGTTGTATAGAAGAAGGAAGACAAGGCCCTTGGAACAGGGAGTCCTCACTAATGATGCTAGTGTAGAAGTGTTCGTTCAACAAAGCCCACTGTAGGTATCTATATATAGGTAATCTATAATAAGGTAATCTCCTCAGCGGCTTGCAACTAGTGACAAACCCAACCTCACAGTGCCCACGCCCACCTTAAGTTGCACTGTTTGGATGCTTGTGTTGGTTTTATCTGGTGCTAGTCTCCATCTCTTCCATGAACCGTTATAAAACTACCTGACTTCTTGGCTCTTTGTGTCCCGGAACTCCTGCCACATCTCCATCGATCCACTCCGACATCGATGGGATCTTGAATCCAAGAGACTCCAGGTGTGGCACGTGGCCACTGTCCTGGCCGCAGGAAACATCGGGAGGAAAGCGGAACAGGAGCTGACTGAATGTGGATATGTTTGGATTTTTGAAGTCAGTTCAGTTTTGGTGACAAGGAATGTTCTATATGAAATTCTGAAGGCAGCCATCCGACAGTTGTGGAACATGAAACGATCTCACAGACAACTAAGTATGGATAAGTATGGCCCTCTAATCACTGGAAGCCTTATCAGCTCCGAAACAAGGAGGAACCGGCAGCACCTGCAGTCACCACAACGTGATAGAAACCAACAGCAGGCCTTGATCCACTGTAGCTGAACGGGGCATCGAAGTTCTTCTTGGAAACGTGGCACTTGCTCTTGAACGTCCAAGATTTCCTTGGGAGCTCATATGGGAGCTCATATCGGCCACCGCATGGGTTGCTCAGTTAGTAGAATGTCGAGACAAGTTGTAGTGACCCCAAACAATAAATAGGACAGTGATGGACAGTGAATATTCTGGTGTGCGGACATCGTGACTGTAAGAGGATAACGAGTCTAACAGCGTCTAACACGTAAATACAAGGAAGGAGGCACATGGTTCCGAAATGAATGTCTTCAAAACGCAAAACATGGAGGCCGAACATTGACTGTTTCCTTGTTCCCTGCTCAATTGAGCGGAGCGGCATCATTCTCGCCCCAAATCCTCAGTGCACATGGCCAACATGAGAATCTCAGTTGGGAGGTATGTGAGGTCACTGTATCCATTGGACCATCAGGATCCATCAGGTGGTTTCTGCATCGGGCTCGAATGAATTGAAGTGTACAGCATCACATGATCAACCAGGGCTTATTTGAAGACCTTCCTAGCAGGAACCTGTTCACTGGAAACATGCAAATGTGTGTTTTTTCTTTGCCATTCCCACTTCACTGTTCAGTACAACCCTATGCTAGGAACACTATGCTAACTTAGCCAATTCTTGCATCAAGTTACAAGTTGAGTTGGGTGATTGTAGACTAGGAACTCTCACACTGCCTGCCCGCTGCGGGACATAAGTATAGACTTAGACATTGAATGGCAAAATTTCAGGGAATCCAACAAGAGCCATCCAAGCATATCCAAGCACACCCTACACCCTTGTGAAGTTCCATTGAATACCCTTTCTTCAGATCCAGGATGCTCCAGAAACTTGTCCCAGTGATACGCGGTCCATCGCAAGATCGGATCAATCCCAGCACCCTGATTAGTCCGCCCAGGGACATGAGTGTCGGCGCAGCGACCTGCGACACCTCAATCGACTGGGGGACCACGAAACATGGTGAAATGACCAGCTGTAGTTATAGTTTGTGCCCGTCATCTACTCATCCTGCAACGCAGCACTGTGCTCACGGGCAATAATCATCAACGTCGGCCGTGTTTTCAAAGTCTATAGGCAACAGTAGAGGTGGGTGACCTTGGCTTCTTGTTCTTGTGCAGTATGTAGAGAGCAAGCACAACACCATCACAAGAATATAGTTATGTGCCACTCACGTCGAACGCAAGTGTATAGTGCGCCCTGACCCACTCAACGGGAGGTGGATGGCGTTTGGTCCCTTGGGTCCGACGCCAGGTCCGATTTCTCCACTCGTCCATGTCGTTCCAAGAGGCCAAGGGAGACAAGGTGTAGCCCCCTGAGTTGAGGTAGTCCAAGCTCGCCTGGAAGGTACATTCCAAGGCTTGGAACTCAATGGTAGTCCAAGGCTTTGGTGGCTGTGCCGATAAATGGCCGTCTCCGGCCATGGAGGTTTGTGTGCTTTGCTATTTTAGTGCTCCCAGGGTTTGGACTTGGAGAAAAGCAAGTCAACAACACACAACAATCCGTATATCCCACATCATATATCTGCTCAAAAGCCAGCCTTCCAAACGTACCACTTCAAACACCTCATGGCCGAACCATACGAACACCCGCGTCAGAAACACCAGACACCTCATCTCCGAACCGGGCCTCTTCCCAGCCGTCGGTTTCCACGTGCAGCCGCCCCACACGCACCGCGTCCTCTGTGGCGTAGCGCTCCTCGTAACTTTGCAAACCAGGTCGTCGACAGGTCCAAAGTCGTTTGGACACACAGGGTGACTGGGATGATCCTTGTTGAATTGGTACATGTTAATTTATGTTGCGGTTGGCATATGTTGTCCGCTTGGTTTTGCACTAGCTTTTTTGGCGAGGCCCATTGCATCCCACTGTCATTTTGAAGGTTGGAGTCACCCTACAACTGAGAGATGGGATCAAGGAAAGAAAGGCACATCTTTGCATCGCAGGTTTGGGTGACAGGATAAAGGTCAGGGCGACCCGTATTTTGGTACATGTGTAACATGTGCAGGGTGCAGTAATCTATCTCGACCACACGATATGGCAAACAACAAATGGATATGGATCTCGAATGAGCACCACGTCCTTTGAACACAGGTCACCCCTCATAAAATCAATGTACCTGACAGTGTCCAGAACAGCACCAGCAGCACAGTCCATGGATGTCGATCATATTTCATCTCACTTGGAGGGTATCGAAACATTGACAACAAGGATTTCGCTCATATCGAATCGATGTCGCCTTGTCGAAGTAGGCCATCTGGTTGGCCATCCATCGCAAAGGCCAGGAGCCCAACCTCAGCCACCACGGAAGACTTGGATCACCCGGTGTGTTGCTCCCAAAACGGGACCCGCATAGAAGGAGCTATGATGAACTGTGGACTGCAGGGATTTGTTGAGGATGAGCTGCGATTGTCATCACTGCCCCCATTTCAGTGGAAAGCCATGGAAAATGTGAACGGATGGAAAGGTGTGCCCTGGCCCCGTTCCAGCTCTTAGGTCAACATGAAGCTCGCGCGCTAAAGCTCCTTTTTACCTGGTTGGGCACTTGAGCCAAAAGTATATGGCATGTACCTGTATAGCGACTATACTGGGACCTCATCCCTATTGACACCCCCCACATCCGTACTTCGACGGGGAAGGGAGATGAGTGGATGTAAAAACCGGAGAACGAATCGTGTTCTCAAAAGTGTATTGGAGGTCAACCAGTATGTCCTATTGAATTGAATTAGCAAAAGATCTTGCATTCGCTTGAAAGTTGGATCAAACAGGTAATGGAGCTACAAGCGGAAAACGTGCACCTACCTATGGTATCATGCGATTACCAACGGTGTGAAACACAATCCTCTCTCACTCCCATGATGCCAAAACGGTCATCATGAATTACCCAAGATCCCTCAGTACTTGAAGTACCGGAAGTGGCATGTCGGTATGACCCTAATGCTCAACCATTCGTGAGTTGTCGCATGTAGTCAGCGCCGACAAAGCCAATGTAGTCCTTGATGAGCTCAACGTTCCTTGGGTTTCCCGCTCGGATCTGCTCCTCGAAGGACTTCAATTTCTGTGCTTGAATAGCGGATACCTCTATGCCATAATAGCGGCATGCAACGAGGATCTCCTTCGTGACATTCTTCCTCTCCGATTTGATGGCGGGGCTAATGTCGATGAACTTGTATGGAGCGGCACTTTCGTCATCTGGTTTCTGGTAGTAACTATACCGGCTCGCTCCGAAGGTCTTCCTGATCAAGCGTCTGATGAAATTTGAGATGAATGCCAGTTTCTCGATGATCTCATCCTGGGTCTCAGACTTTCGAGCCTTTGGATCACTCATGTTACGCCGAGTGCTGCCGACCTCTTTGAGGTACTTGTGGCTAAGCCCGCAGCGGATTGCAGTGATCATCATCGGGTGAACAACGTGGGCGTGGAATTCATAGATCTGCCACGCTTCTGCTGCATACACGTCGTCGGTCCATCTGCTCATGCCCACGACCTCGGCTCTCTGGAGACGTCTTGGAAACCCAGTATCCGGATCATTCGGTACTATCGGCCATCTATTGTGCGGAGTGTCATGCCGCTGTCCATCGTCGAACATTCGCAGTACATCTTCACGACTTTCAAAGCAGTTGATGTCGAACGTTGCGTTGGCCAAGCTCTTGATCAACTTCATCAACCTCAGATCAAATTGCTGTGTGACGGCAAAGTTGTGGTCGATGGGGATCGCAGCTTCTTGCGGCAATTCGTCAATTGCGAAGGGGAAAGGCTGCGGAAGTTCATTCCCGTATCCATCTTGAGGGACCTCCCGATATTCGGGTTCGCCTTCAGCTTCGTCCGGTCGTTCCTTCAAAATGATAGGAACTTCCTCCTCTTCCTCTCCTTCGGATTCCTCGACCTCAATGACCTCTTCGGCTGTCTTGCGTGCGTTCTTGATGACTTCATCGATGTTTGCACCTGCAGCAGAAGTTGCTTCACCGGAAGAACTGGCTGGGACATCTTTCGGAGGTGACCGTTGATTGCGGTCCCTTGTCTCCTTGGGTACCACATGCGTGAGCTTCCCATTCGCGATCAAAACCGCTACGCAGTGCGGACATATCGTCAATCGCACATCGACTTCGCCAAGACAGTTAGGACACGGTCTTGAGTCATAGTCTTTCATTGCTCGGCGGTACACGATCTCCTCAAAGATTTCCTGCCACTCGGTGCTATCGTATTCTGGGTAGACACCACTCTCCTCGATCATACCCAACAGCTTTGAGATTTTGGCGTCGTCCTCGGAGTAGGTATCGTCCTGAACCTCAACCGCTAAACTCTCAAGCTTTTGAAAGCGTGGAATCATGATCGGGTTTCCGTATTTGGACTCCAGAACAAGGTAGCTTCCAGGGTCGGGTTCTCCATTGAGTAACCGGATCCATTCGATCTCCTCAGGCTGTCCGGGTTCCGCATTGTCGCATTGCAACCATGCCCCTTTAACCTCATCGAAGGGAACGACGTTCTCAACCAATAGAGAGCCAGTCGCTGAGATGAGAAGTCCGTACTCCTGCAGCTTCCACACCGGAATGTAGAGAACCACCGGGCGATCACTCAATGCGACCTTACGACCCAGCCAAGGTTTTCCCTTGTAGCCCTGCTCCCAGGCCCATGGCGGAAAACATGTGAAGTGGATAGAATCCCTTCCCGATGAACCGAGACCTCCTGGCACTAGCCCTCGTCGCATGATTGAAGTCAGCGCTCCGAGATTGGTAGCGTGAAATGCAGTCACCATAGATAGGGCCATGTCGTTGGTCATTCTCGATCCAATGTGGTCGATGTTAATGGTAACGTCATAACCTCCGCCGTCCGTTGAGTGTGCCGAGGTTGCTCTTACGGCCACGGGAAAGCACCATCCATCGCTATGGTGGAGTCTTCCTTTAGAGATTCCCATGTCCTTGAGTTCGTCAATCCATTCCTTCTCCATCGGGTCATCAGGCTCATTGAGTTCATCAGGGTGAACGCGGACTGCCAACATTTGGAATCTGATCCTCTTGGTTATGCGGAAACACTCATAGTTCTGGTCGAAGTACTTCTCCAAACGCGCCTTCTTGGTCACGATATCTATGTTGCCATAGTGATAACCGTCTTCCCAAACTGCATTATCACCTAACAGGTCTTCCCATGACACCCATGCGCCTTCATCGCATTTGATTGGTGCGAGTCTTCCTCCTGTTTTGAACTGGCGTCCAATTCGATGTCTCAACTTCGCTCCCAATCGACGACTCAGGGCCTGGCTCGCTTGGCTGTATTCAGGTACTCGACAGTCTGGAGTCGGATACTTGTGATTGCCGTAGTCGGAGTTCTTTGCAGCGAAAGTGACTCCGTTGATCGGTACTAGTTCAACTTTCCCGACCATCGTCATGGGGTCGATCGGCTTGTATCCCTTCTCCCTCCGTGTTGGTAGGGGATAGAAGTGATGACATGCCTTTGGTGTGAGGGAACTGGAGTGCACAAATGCCTTCTCTACAAATTCGTACACTACTTTCATATCCCTAGGGCCTGCTTCCGCAAGTTTCCGCCCATTGTAGGAATGTGGTCCTCCTTCGACTCCATCAGCACTTTCGATCAAGGTGAATCCGTCATGGTCGAACATTGTCACGACTCTCGCTTTTAACATTTCTTTACGCTTGAACTCGCTGTCGACCTTCCTTTCCGGTGTAGGCGATGCTCTCTGCTTCTTCTTCTTAGGTTCCTCGGTTGGATGTCCAGATGGTACATCGTCGGGTGCAACCTCTCCCTTCACTCTCTTCTTCCAATCACTCAACACTGATGTGACTGTAGGTGAAGATGAAGGGGTCTTCTTGCAATTGAGAGTTGTGTGTCCCGACTCCATGCAGTGGATGCAGAATTCTGCCTGCCCGATCTTCCTCTCAAATTCGTCGATGGCTTGCAGTATTGATGTCTTCGGGTCGGACATGTCAACATCTTGCTCCTCCTTCTCCTGTCCACATTCAGTCTCCATATCGACACCTTCGGCCTCGGGCTGGTCAGTGGCTTCTGTTCCCTGTTCTGGTTCTTTCCCGATTTCGAAGAAATGGTCGATGTCGAATTCAGGAGGCGGCATGGTCCTCATGCGCATGAGAATCAGCGCCACGTTTGCCGCCTCATCAGAGTGCGGGTCCATGGTTCTAATCATCGATCGCTTTCGGTTCTCATACGTTGTCCTGTCGTACAGCGATGCAGTGACGCGTTTGATGGATTCCTCTAATCCCGTCCTCAAAGCTTCGATGTCACCCCATCCTCTGAACAGGTGTCTGAAGAGTTGAGCAATTTCGAACATGCCCAGCAACGCCTCCACCATGTCACCTACCCGTTCCTCTGTGGGATCATCTCCGAATATAGTGCGGAATACATCGGGTTCCAGTATGGTCTTGAGGTATTTGGTGTAGCATACGTTGCCAAGGTCATAGGATCCCTGGTAGTACTTGGCGTTGCCGATTACCTGCTTTTCCACATGGATGCTGGGTCCTCTCCTCGTTTTGAAGAAGTTCTCCGTCATTGTTGATGACAACCTGATCCCCCCGAAGAACGAAATCTCCTTCTGGAAACCTGGATTCTCATTGAAGATGATCATCGCCTCGTGTAAAAACTTCATCAAGTCATCGTGCGGGTTCATCTCTGAGATTGCGATGGTGGGAGAAGATACCGTTTGTCCCATGCCGAAGTTGTGAAGCAATCGAGCACATGCATGAAATCGCTTCTGGACGTAGTCTTCTGCGGACATCCCACGGCATCTGTTTGCTGCTCCGTTGATGCATTCCGCATAGCAATCGTCCTTCAGATCGGAGTCTATGGGATGGCAGACCAGACAGTAATCGCAGCAAATTTCCTCACCCTCCTTAAAGTCATCAATGACGTACCATCTTTGAGTCCTTGAGTATATTGGTTCTGGCTGAAGGACTCCCCAGTACTCATCCATCCATGGCATCTTGTTCTCTCTCCTTACCTTCTCCCTCTTCCTCCTCTCAGACTCATTCTCACCTGAAGGCTCCGCAGTGGACTGATAAGCGTGGCTTCCTCTCACGGAATCTCCGAACAAGTACTGATACAACCTCTCCTTGTCCTGCAACACGTGTTCCAAGTTGGGATCGTGGAGGCTATTCGCTTCGGTCAAGGGATCCGGTGCCATAAAGCAAGAAGCGAGCATCTTTTCTCTGAACAAGTACTTTTCCATGACAGCGTGGACCAAAGAGGTTCCAGACTTCATAGAGTAGGGGTGACCGTTTCCGGCAACCGAAATGGCTCGCCAGAATCTGTCCGACGTTGTGGA